TGCAGTAGTTTTCCTCTTCTTGTGCACTACCTGAATCTTGTAAACAGAGTACAGACAACAAGAGAATTTGTATCGTGGAGTCAATGGCATATGTAATAGCTAGGAGAGATACTGGTATGCTGTTCAGTGGATACACTCTCCTCCTTGGGGTTATCAAGAAAATCATAACAAGGTGAGATCTCAGAGAGAAAAGAATGAAGTACTGTCCATATATTGAAATAGTTTTTAAACATTCATATGCTAGACTTCAGTTAAGAGGAAGAAATATATAGATACTTAAAACGACACAGAAAATTCAGGAAGACAGTAATGCATTGCATGGATGGAAAATTGAATACAATTTTTGAAGAAAGAAAACGTATTAAGTATATTAAGCGTCTGACTAGCATCACCATAGATGCCTAAGTAGATAAGCAGGCTTAGCAAGAGATGGTGTGCTTTGGTGTAAATCTGATATGGGGGAGGCCTGTGCATGTGTTTGAAAGATTTTTTTGAGGTAGGCAATACTGAAATATTTCTTCATCATGATTGTCAATGTTGCACTCATTTTCTGAAGTATGGCTAGAGGCCATCTAGGATGTAAATATCAGCATAGGTTCCGTAAGATAAATTTCCTATGACGTGGATTATTGGAGAAGATAATCCCATTCTCTTTCCCCTTAAAATTCAGCATTTTTCTGAATTCCAGATTTTGGAATTTAGCATGGTTTTTGCAGTGAAAGGCACTGTGTATTACTGATTGATTGCCTCAGTCCTGTGTAAGCCAGCAGGCTCTTGTCTCTGCATAGAACCCCACTGTGTTGTTCAAGCTCCATGTGTGGGCTTTAAACCTCTCAGCTGTCTTTGAAGTAGACATTCTTTTTCATCTGTTTTACATGTGGGAAACTGTTATGTAGGCTGATAACGTGTTTTTGCTCTCTGAAAATTCAGTAAATAACGTCAGAGACTTGAGAAGCATTCCACATTGTACTTTTTTTAGCTTTAGAGTATGTTTTGTCTAAGGTAGTCTATTAACATCAAATACAAATTGCCTCAGTGGCAAGCTTAGAAAAACAATGTTGTTGTTCCATGCTGTAGCGTGAAATCCTTATCAATGTTGTCCTTACAGCCCCCTTGCATTATTTCTGTTTTGTCTTTGGATCCTTACTTATTTGATAGACCAGTCATTCACCTCCATCCTCCTGCTCTTTCATGAAGTGCAGTACCACTGCACTGGAAGGCGGTGCAGACTTCTCATTCCCTGAGGAGTTAAAAAACATACTTTCTTCCCTTTTTCTTTTAAGCTGGATTCTTTTCTGGTTTTTGCGTTTTGCTGTATTTTATGCCACAGGAACAATGTTCATGATGTGGGTGTCACTTTGCTTTGATGTTTAGCCATCCTTGAAAGCTGTTTACTGCTTCATGTGCATGAACTGTCATGAGCTCTCTCTCTTAAATAACCTGGCATCATGACAAGATATTTAAATCCACAAGTAGGTATTATTAGCTGTTTGTTTCTTTCAAGTTTTTTGCTGTATATATAGAGACACACTTTTTCCATAGTACAAAGAAAGAAGGTAGAAGTTGTATAAGATCAAAGCATCCACTATTTTTATTTTTGAATCCCTGGATGATGCACCATGGGCTAGCTGGAAATTTGATCTTTATTGACTCTGCCACCTAAGAGAAAAAAGAAAATAGGTAAAAATGAAAATAGTAATTGGAAATAGCTGCTGTGAAGCAGAGCTGTCATGAAGCAGATTGATTAAGCAGTGGCAGAGTTGCTTTATTGATTGTGAGTCCTTAGTAAATTAAAAAGAGGACCAAAAGCGTTAATCTTTTGTGTGTGTGTGACAGTGACAATGTATAACGTTCTGCCAGGATAAAGACACATATAGGAGTGTGGGAATGTTATCTATTTCAGTTAGTAACAGGCTTTTCAGAGATAAGAACAGTTTTCTTCAAAAACCCTTCTGGGTTAAATGTTCTTTACTGTTGCTTAGGTTTTTTTAAGCGTTCAGGTGCAGTTATTCTAGATAAAGGGATGAAGCATAGGAATTGCACTGATTTTCTTCAGATGTTCACAGCGGGTTCCTTAAATTTGATTCTCTGTCTGAATTGCAATGTCAAATTTGTTGTTAATAGAAAAAGTGCAAAACTTTAATATATTCTAACTGAGGATCTCTGCTTCATAAGCAGAAGTCAGTTTTGGATTTTGATTTTTTGACTCCTCCAATTACTGCTAATTACTTAATGTCATTGCCCATTTGCAAGTAAAATAATCCTTTATTTATATTTTCCTCCCCAAATCATCACTGCTTGTCATAACGATGAAATTCATTTAGAAGGGGAGCAGCCACACAGTGTGAGATGATAATACAGAAGCTTTTCCTCCATGGAAAAGTAGGGAGCAGGGACAGAGCTGGGATCCTGTGCTGGTGAGGACTAGGCTTGCCAGATGTTACGTACAATAGGTAATCTGCTTTTCAGCCTCAGATTCTGCACCATCAGAAATTTGTTTCACATATTTCTTGTTGGCTTGGCATAGCTGAAATTCAGCCAGGAGGACATGCTCTCCTCTTTTACTGTCCGCTATTTTCCTGCCACTTCTGCCTGAAAATCCAGCTACCAGGGATAGTTTTGTGGCCTCTCATTCCCAACATGCTATCTATTTATAGAGTGTTCTGAACCTCTGCTATTTTGGATGCACAGTTGTTAACAGGACAGGGTTTGAGGACCATCTTCTGCTAAGAGACTCTGGGGGGTCATGCAGTTGGTGGCGGAAAAGGAACTGGAGATGCATGAGGTAAAGCAGCGGAGAAGGCAGGGAGCTGGAGGAACTGTTTCCCACTGCTTCATATAGAGTCCCCCAGTCTGGTGTGCAGAGAGGTGAAAGGGAACGAGGTCCTCTTCCAGGGCCTGGAGGGAGATTGGAACTGGAAGTGTAGGAGACCCCATAAAGCTGGCAATCATTGACTCTTGGAGAAAGTGCTGTTTCTTGAACATCTGCAAGAACAGGGCTTTGTAGCTACTACTGACACAGAAAGAGGGACAGGGGGTTAACTGAGCCTCCAGGAAGGAATCTGGACAGTCTCATGTTCAGTTTATTCTGCCGTACTTCTGAAGAACCCAGTCTCTATCTTGTCCCCTCACACCTGTCCCCCAACAGCAGTGAGCCAGAGAGGCAAAGGACAGACTGAGATATCATCTCACCCATTTCATCCAACCACTTCACTCACCACTTCTTTTCTTTTCATGCTTTTCCTTTCCTTACTTGCTGGTCCTGATTAGTCATCCTCCTCTGGTTTCTTTGCCTTGCCAGATAGATACGTATTTTACAGAGGCTTGCACCTAGTTGTGCTCTATAGGACAGCCTCCCCATCAGATCTGTGAAGCCACTGTGTTTTCTCCTTCTTCACTCCATGCTTCTTTGAGGATACCTAGAAGAAATTGCTAAGTGCAAGGGAAGGAGTATATTAGCAAGTGGCTGCCATTCATCTATTTGTGTAGCTACTGAAGTGTTTCATAATCATTAATCAGAGCTTACAGGTAGGCTTTATTCCTGTTCTCTCAGATCTCTCTTCCACTGTCAGCCCCACTGTTTATCACCCCTGTCATTTCTTGCCTTAAATTTAGATAGCTCAACAGGAGAAGCTCTGTCACTCTATGCGGGAGGTACTACAGCATAAATAATTTTTTTCCTAAAAATGTAAATGCCATTGTATTTGCTCCAGTGTGCACAACATTAAATAGTAAATCTTGTAAGTGGTAATTTGTCGTGTTTAAAAGTCTTGTTTGTTCAGTCTCTGTCTTGCTGGTTTTTTTGTGCTGAATGACTGATCATTGCACCACTGTTTTCTTTGTTAAACGCATCTGTATGCAGAAGCAGAAGGGCTTAATTTGTTTCAATCTGGCATACTGTAGCAAGTCTGCTTTTAAATTGCGCACTTAGTAGGTTACAAATCAGGTGGCAGCACTTTCACGGTGCTAATTCTCCAGTGTAGTTGGAACCGCTGACTTGAATAGTTTTTGACCTCTTTTCTTTTTTCATAAGTCTTCTGTAACTCGTTTGGCTTGCTTAAATGACCTGCTCCGTATTTTCCACAGCAGGAGTTTCTCTCATTTGGGAAATGTAAAAGGATAATGTTCCTAGTCCAAGCAGAAGCAAAATGTAGCACTGCCATCTGGGCTGTGAAGTTGGAATAAAGCTGAAAGCATTACCTCAATATATTGCCATGGCTAGAAGCCAGGTGGCAAATGATAAAAGGATGGTCTGGTAGTTGGCATGTTAGTCAGGATCTTGGGAGACTGCATGTGCTTGTTGTGCTTCAAACCTCCAAGAACGTGGGCAGTTTGGAAATTATTTCTCTCACCTAGTACTGGGTATCTAAATGTTATGTATCTACTCTGAGTTAATTGTCTCAGCTCAATCTGCTGTGAATGGATAGGCATTTCCAGAGGGCACAGGGTCATTCCCCATCACTTAGCTCTACACTTTAGACTAGGATGAATCACTCTGTGGAGATACTTGTCTCTTGCTGCATAGACTTAACAAAAATACAGTAGCTGACTGCCTTAGCCCAGGTACCTAACTTTCAGATGCCCGAGTTACAGCAAATGAGCCCTCTCTTCCTTTTATGCAGGTGCCTTTAGTTGAGGGGTAGCAATCCTTTCCTACCTCACAGGTACACATAGAAACTAAATGGTGCTACTCTGTTCTCACAAAGAAAGCTATTAATGTGAAAAGAAAAAAAACTTTTTTTCTAGTATTTTAATTATCTATATATACACATATATTTGTGACTGCCTCAGATTTTTGAACACAGTGCTAAAAGGGAGAGATCTTAAGGACAGAGACCTAGAGGCTTTTGCATCCGTAGGAAATACGTAACTGTTTCATGGCAATATTCTGATGAACACATTGAAGAGGCAAACAAAGCTAGGACTTAAGAATGCCTGGCATGTATATGAAGCTCTGTAAGTCATGCTCATTTGTGGTGGCTGGTTTTGTTTCTTTTTAGATTGTTATGGATTTTAAACACCCTGATGGCCATACAGTGGCAATTATGCTGCCCCGACGCAGTTTATTGGTGATGGCTGGAGAATCCAGATACCTGTGGACACATGGGTATGTGTAAGAGTCCCTGCATTGCTGATAATAGAAGAATAATATATGTTGTTTGTTGGCTTTGTTAATGACATTCTGAATTTAAAATTGCTCTGAAAGAAATCAAGTCAAGTTTTATAATTAATATACAAATTCACTCCTCTGCTCAGATGCTGCTCAGGTTAAATTGAAAAAATTGGGGACTTTAGGAAGCTAATTGCCAGTCCCTGAGCTGCAGTTTCCTGCTGCTGTCACAAGTGAAGTTTTGCTTGGAAATCGCTCTCACTTATGTCTGCGGTGTGAAAGTCCTCAATGACTCTGAGCTGGCAAAGAACTGATTGTAGTGCAATTAGCTTCACCATTTCCTTTCTCTCTTTTCAGCCCACAGCTTTTCCCATTGGATTACATATGCCAAAGGCTTTAGAAAAGGGCTGGTTTAAGAGAATGACTTCCCCTGCACAGAGCGCATGAGGGTGACAAAGAGGAGTGAGGAGTCTTCCTGAGCTCTTCCCAGCTGCTTTAGGGACACTTTACTGATAAGGCTGCATTGTACTGAGCAGGTTTGGGATCCTGGAAAACAGATTTCTTGAAATATGTCTTGAGGCTTTGCTTATTGTAGAGTTTAAATACGTGCTTTTTAAATCATGCACCACTGGGAGATACTTACAATAGGAGTGCTGAAATTGGCAAAAAGGCTAAAACCTTGACGAGCTCTGAGACTGACAGTAGTGCAGTTCAGGAGAATGTGGAAACCCTCATATTGAACAGAAATGCCCATGGTGAATGTTTCTTCCTTTGTTTGACCCAAGCCATCACTGGTTACAGCAGTCAATTGGAGACACTAAGAACATTCTGTCTAAATTAAACATCCAGTCCTTTTATTGGCAGAAGATTTTCTGCCTTTTAATTTTACTGGTTAATTTGTATTATGAAGAAGGGTGAATATGAACTCCCCAATGATCTTTACATTGTTCATTTTTATAAAGCGCTTATACCACCTGTATATTCCCTCATTAACTTAAATAGTTGTACAAAGAAGCTGGTATTCCTGACGTGCATCATTATAGAAGCCCAGGGCAGCGAAGTCCTTTGGTTTTTGGTATACAAGACTGAACACTGATACCAGCATTATAAGCTGCTTATTCTGTCCTGTCCAATACTGTCAAACGTCTTTTGGAAAGGTTACCTACAACTCTGAGAACATAGTGCAGTTTCCATTTCAGTGACGTTGCTGGCCTGGGAAGCCGCGGGGCAGCCTCCAACCCTGGGCATCAGGCAGCTCCATGGAATTGGGCTGAGGCCAAGTTGGGACGTCAGGCCGTGGGTCAAGGCCCGGATCAGTGGGGCAGTGGCCGTGCACAGACACAGCTGGGGGTGCGTCTGGGCTGGGGGTTCCATTTCAGTGACGTTGCTGGCCTGGGAAGCCGCGGGGCAGCCTCCAACCCTGGGCATCAGGCAGCTCCATGGAATTGGGCTGAGGCCAAGTTGGGACGTCAGGCCGTGGGTCAAGGCCCGGATCAGTGGGGCAGTGGCCGTGCACAGACACAGCTGGGGATGCGTCTGGGGCTGTAGCTGGGGCAAGGACCAGCAAGACAGCCTCCGTTTAAAAGCAGCTCCCAGGACAAGGAGGGGTCACTCTTGCTGAGCCTTCTGGCTGTCTTCGTGACAGCTTTCTCTAAGGTCACCAGCTCTGCTCTTTCCAAGCTGGCACTGGGCAGCCAAACTGCCAGGAGGGGGAAGGATTGCACGCAGGGCAGTTGCAGTACTTGCCAGCAGGCATTCAAGTTGGGGTAGTGGACCTGCCTACTAAGAACTGGAATGAGGTTATTACTTAACTCACTTGTAACTTCAAATGATGGTTGTCTTTTGAGAACCAATGACATAAACTACATTTCAAATGAAGATCCCAGATCTTCCTACTCATGTATAAGTTATTGCTGTCCCAGTGCTCGTCCACTTTTCCTAAAAATAGTTTTTTCTGTAAAAGCAGCAGTGGGTCAAGATACTCAACTGGAGTAAGCTTTCCGTCATACTAGTGAAGCATACGATTGTAGTCAACAAGATTAATCATGCAGTGAGCAAGTGTAGTTAATTCACTTGCATACATAACGTCAGGATGTATTTAAGATCATTTATGATGCCTTTTATCTACTCCTCAGAAGTCCAAATTAGAGAGCAAAAGGTTCAATTTTGGAATTATTCTGGAAATGTTTTCAATATGTATATTTGGATGCCAGGGGAATGAGAGACTTAATTTTGACCCTGTTAACAAAGTGCACAGGAGAAGGCTTTTTGTTCTGTTCTCTCTGAAAGAGAAACATATGGTTAAGAAATAAACTATACAGTGTCATCAAGGAGAGCCAAAGATATGTGGTCTTTTTGTCTCATAGGTGAAAGTAAAATTACGGCTCTTCTGGTGAGGTTCATTTTTGATTGGGTAACCTGGCAAAACACCATTCCTGACACTGCAATAGTAAAACAACTCTGTGCCAAGCAAGACGATGTGCAGCATTTTATTTTTGATATTGGGAAGCCTGTTTTTAGCCCAGCCTTTGTCTAGAGTTCTTGCTTGTAGTATAGGCAAAAGCAAATTATGTAGGTTGAAACTAGAACCCTGAAAAAGAAGACATTTCTGAAAATATTAGCTGCTATGCTTAGCTTATTGCTGCAGGTACAAAAGAAAATAAAATAGAAAATCTGCAAACTCAGGATTTGAAGTTCTCCTGTCCATGGAGTCTTGGGCATCTTCAGCTGATTATTTCATCATAGCTTCATTATCTGCCATGAACAAGACAGTTCTTTATTAGAGCCCATCATTTCCATGGCTGCCTTTGGGAGATTTCCATTCTCGGGGCTGCTCCATGTCTCCTTTTTGCAACATCTAGATGGAGCACCAATGTGCCACTTCCTGATTTCCAGACAGAAAAGACCTGCGCTCTTTTTCCCTGTGACTCAATTAGAGATCAGCTTCCCTGTGGTAGGAAAGATGGCATACAGCAAAGTACGGGAATGCTGATCAGGCTGCAGGCTGCCTTCTCAGCATTCGGATCGTTCTCCTTGGTTAAGTGCAGGCACTGGTCAACAGTTTCCTGTGACCTGCAAAAAAGTTCCAATGGAAATTTGAGATAAGACTGAATGCTCTGCTTTATTAAAAGATGTAAGACACTTTTTTTCCCCTCCTTTTGGCTCAACCTGTGAGGGGTTAAACTCAGCTAACCAATATGGAAGTCAGTTTTATACTGAGAGCTTGTCCTGCTGGGAGTCAAGTACTTTGAAGTCAGCAGCTCTGAAGGGGCTTCACTGAGAGGCCAATTCCTTAGAGATTATTATTTTTTTTTCTTGAGGAAATTTCTGCATTAATCTCCTTGATGACTAAGTTCAGCAAGTGTTTCAGTGTGACACTAACAGCTTTGAAGTGCTAAGCTATTTCCCTGAAGGGTTTCATTTTGTTCCAAGAGTATCTACTTTTTCCCATGTGCAAGTGATGGGAAACCACATGTGGGTGCAGCTGTTTCTCTTCTCTCGTGTTGTGTCTCACATTTTACTTCCTCATTTTCCTCTTCTCAACTTTAAGAGAGATCCATTTGTAGAGCTATTAAAAAGTCTTGATTTTAGTACTTTTTCATAATGCAAGTCTCTTCATAACATTATTTGAAACTTTTGTCGCTCCAAAAAAGTTGCAAATCACTTTCATTTTATGAATTTTGTCCTTGCAAAAATTTTTTTTTTTCCATTAATATCAGTGCCAAATCCAGAAGTAGCTTAAGCTCTGCTCCCAGTTTGCTTGATTGACAGATTTTGGTCAAGAAAGAAGATCTGCAGCAGAGTTTCTCCCTTTAGGCATTTTAGCAAATCTCCCAAGTGCTACTTCTTTGCATCTTCTGTTGTCAATAAATGGAAAAGCAATTCTGTTGCAAAACAGAATTCATTGGAGAGGCCTGTTTGTAATAAAACACTTCAATCTGCTAATATAGAGCTTAGCCAGTGCTATACTTTTATGCCCATAGCCACCGTTTTTGCTAGTGTATTTATCTTTAACAAATATATCTTAGATAAAGTCCTAGAAAAATAAACAATCAAACTTTATGGAAGGAAAGGAAGGGAGGAAAGGGAAACATAATTACTTGCAATTAAATAACACTTTAATTAACGTCATTACGTTATGTGTTAGCACCTCTTTTTTTTCTCTGAAATTGAGTAAGTTGAAAACTTGAGAAGCAGCAGTACATTAAATAGCATGCTGTAATCACACTTGTTACAGTATTTAAGAAGTGCCTTCTTATAAAGATGGATTGTTTTTTTTCTGATGCAAATTATTCTTTTATTTTGTGTTACTTTGTTTTAGGATTACACCCCGAAAATATGATGTCATTCAAGCATCTGAGCTTGGGCAGAAAGTTGGAACAATCACTGCTGATGTTGGAGATTTAACACAAATAGCATGCTGTAATCATACTTTTTACAGTATTTAAGAAGTGCCTTCTTATAAAGATGGATTGTTTTTTTTCTGATGCAAATTATTCTTTTATTTTGTGTTACTTTGTTTTAGGATTACACCCCGAAAATATGATGTCATTCAAGCATCTGAGCTTGGGCAGAAAGTTGGAACAATCACTGCTGATGTTGGAGATTTAACACTAAATCGAAGGGAAACAAGGACATCATTTACATTCAGGAAAGTGAGGAGAAGCCCTTGCAATTGCAGTAAGTGTCTTGAGGTGATCTTCAAGTCAAAATTGTTATTTATCACCAATATATAAGTATTTTTTTTTGAGCAAACCAGTTTATCCTTTTGGGTAGTTTTGGCAGTCCTGGTAGCTGTTCCTGAATGGCTCAGGGTTAGGCATACTACATGGCTTGAATTGGCTGCATCCGTTTGGCTGCTGTAGTTTCTCTATACAGGAAGGCATTTGGCTTGCTCTAGTGCCAGCCAAGTAATCTGTAACCTTGCATTTCATTGGGACTTCAAGTGCCGGAATAATGTACCAGAATAGAAGTAGCTACTATTCTTCAGGTTCCCATCAGTTTTTGTTGGTTTTTTTTATTTGAAGAGGGCTGTAATTTTGTGAAAACAAGTACATTAGAGAAGGAGAAGCAGTCAGAGCTGCAGTGATAGAGCCATGTAAGTGCCTTAGGGCAGTACAGATAATAATAGATAGGTGGCTCAACAATTACATGGAATTGAAATCCATTTGTGCCCTCAGAACACAATTTCAGAGGCTGAATTGCAGTGATGTCATGATTTTTGATATTAGGGGCACTGTCTCAGTTTTGAAAACATAAACCTCATTAACGTAGCAGGTTGAATGATCACTGCAAATGGCCTCTGGTACACGTGGGCAGGTTGCTTGTTTTAAAGTCATCAAACACTTCTGCAGTTTGGCCTGCATTTCAGTTTTAAAAGGTAAAGAAGGAATGAAGCATTTTTTGCATTTTAATATTTCATTTTTAATTTTATTTTGCTAAATAAGTTTAACCAACAAGGAATGACTTTAAAAAATTTTATTCTTTGTGTATCTGTTGCTGTATCTAGTTTACCCATCTGTCTGTGACAGCCAGAAAGGACAGCAAAGTCAGGTACAACCTTCATTTCCCCACAATGAGATGGAGGCCTCAAAGCTGGAGCAAGAATATGTACACAAGGTGTATGAAGAGATTGCCACACACTTCAGCAGTACCAGGCATAGCCCATGGCCCCGAATTGTAGAGTTTCTCAGCTCACTACCAAAAGGGTCAATAGTGGCTGATGTTGGTTGTGGTAATGGGAAATATCTAGGCATCAACAAGGATTTATACATGGTAAGTAGTAGCCACTGTCACTTGTTTTCATTGGTACTAGTGTTTATTCCATTGTGCAGCTGTAGCATGTTTGAGCTTCAGTTGTGGGAAGAGTGCCAAGAACAGAAAGCTATTTCCTGATCCAAGATCAATTACCAATTGTGTTAGGTTTCCACATCCATTCACTATGTGCATTACCCTTCTCTTTTTTCAAAGCCACTTTTGCTTTGCAAGTCAAAATATGTTAATAAAAAAAATAGTAATGGGTGCAGTGGATTGAAAAATTGTAATGGATGCTTTAGCTTTTGTTGTTTTGAATAAGCTTAACAAAAGGGAAAATGGTTGGGCAGTTTGAATGCTTCCAACAAGTTTTTCACTTGGCTGGTGGGTGGGGAATTCAATGTACATGTCCCTGAAATCTTCATGGGCAGTACCACTTTTCATATATCCTTTTCACTTGCCTTTGGCTTGGTGGCATGGCTCATTTGTGAATGATGTCATGTTTGGCTGTCCCACCTCTGACTCTGTGCATAGGCCCAGTAAATATGCCAACATAAAATTCGTGGGGGAGTCTCAACTTCAACACAGATTTCTGGCCTTTCTCTCACACCATTTTCTTCACTTTTAGACAGTTTTGACATCATTCTTGCTGATGTTCTCATCACCTTCCCTGTCTCACAGTCTGTACTTAGCCCAGTTGTACTTCTCTCCCTTCTTATCAGGGAGACATGAAGCACATAAAAACCATCTCTTGGTTCATATTTGTATTGCGAATATTTCAAAGACTTTTTTGCAAGGGTCAAACTTCCTGTTGTTTTTACCCAAAAGAAATCTTTCTGAGAGGTGTGCATTATGCTATGTGCTCTCCCCTATTCCAGAGTTGTCTGATTCTTTCATGTGTTTGTACTGTGAAACACTTTGAAATCTATCAGGCTTGAAAACTTCTATGTAAGGCAAAACATTCATTATTAATAATAAAAGTCAGACTTGTTTGTCTGTTTCAGGAGTTTCTGTCCTGCTATTTATATTCAGCTTTAAAACATAAGTTGTTATTTACAGCCTTGTCTGTATTTGTAATGGATTTATTTCCATTACTGTTCTTATAAGCTAGAACAAAATCAACTGATTTATAAGTAGGCATGTTTATGCCTGACTGCTGTAGCCTGAAAATAATTATTAATGTTCAGTACATTTCAGTCTTTCACTCCTGACTCCTGTAAGAAAAATCAGCAAACCTAACTAGAGAGGAGAAAAGTTTATCAGGGTACCATGAAGGTCACCTGGTCCTAGAATGAATTTGGTAAATTGCTGTTGTGTAGGTTTGTGGAAGGCTTTTAAGGCGAAATCTCTGCAAGATGCTGTGTTGAGAAATTGCCATCACCGGTCTGTTTTCTGGAGCCCACAGTTAACCAACTAAGGGAAAGAAAGATCACGTATCTACTGGCAGTCAGATGAAAGCCAGCCCCTCTCCTCTGTCACTTCAGGAGTTACCTCATTTCATATGTGCCTGCAGGAGAAATCCAAAACGTGAAAAATAACAGTGAAAGGGAGGAAGCTTTTAAAGAAGCAGTTGAGACAGTTGAAAAACAGAATATGGGAATTGCTTCATTCAGTTGGCCTCCCTTGACATTTTATTTTCTACTGGTGACTAGTTCTTCTTGGTTGGAGCTAGACTCTAGACTTTATATTTGTGTATTTTCATCTGCAAGCTAGCACAGAGTCTCAGGAGGATGGATGTGACTTCTTTCTACTATATTTATTTTTATATGTCAGCCAAAGTATGGTTAAAGAAAAACCGGTGTATATCGTGTTTACAGATTTTTTTTTTTTTTTTTAAACTTTTGACAAGGAATCTCAAAAAGACTAAGAGAACTAAATTATCGTAGGTGAGAGGAACGGTGTGGTGTTATACTGGTTTGGAGACAAAGGAAGGTAGGACTGTTGGATGTCATTCAGTACTCATGACACACCAGTGGGTGTCACTTAGATCACCTAGCATGGATATGAGTGGTTGCTGCTAGTGGGGACAATGAGATGATCCAAGGGGACCTGATGGTTTGGGAGCAGGTTAAACTGCAGCAATCTGTTTTCTGCTGAGAAGACAGAATACTTCAGGCACATGTGGTGCCATTTATCAGATGGAACTTACCGTCACAAAATGCCACAAAGCCAAGCGCTGAGCAGCAGTCATAAGGATTGGGTCAAATTCTTCTAAGAGACATAAGATCACTTTGTTCATAGGTAATACAAATCCTCGTTCTTTGACCTGAAGGAAAGTGCCAGTAGACAGGACTTAGCAAGACATTTTTCTTATGGTAAGCTTTTTAGACAGTGAACTGTCCTGATGACTTTTTTGTGCGTCTTCCTCTAAAGCAACTGGTAATGGCTATTATTTGAAGCAAGGTACTACTTTAAATACTTTGCTATTTCTGTGACTGCAGAAGCGACTGACGTCCATTCTTTATTTTGTGGATTCTGATTTGTGGGGAATCAGTACTCATTTATTCCTTAATGGGAAATCAGTACTTATATATTACTTAATGGGATTTTTACCTCTGTTCCCTTGCCGTACTGTTCTATAGGAAGTACTGTAGAACAAGCGTCAGTGATGTATCAGTATTATTACCGGTAGCCCGTCTCCTTCGTATGGTGACTGTGCTGGATGAGTCAGCCTGTTCAACCGTTCTTTTTGTCTGAGGGAGAAAGGAGCACTTTTCGTTGTCCCCCTGGATTCTTATTTGGGCTCAACAGAAAGGTCTGATGATACAGGGCTGTTTCTCATATTGTGTTACTTCCATTTACCACAGGTTGGGCATGGATCCAAGGGTGAGGGGTTAAAGAATATGTTTTGTGTATCAGGTGCATCACTGGGATAAGGAGAGTGCTCTCTAGATGCAGGGCATCAGTTTCCTCCCTCATTTACTCCTCTTGACTTGGGGGCATAAAATCCAGGCAGAAACATAATAAATTGCTGCAGCCTTTCCTTTACAGCAATTGCTGTGGCTCTTGGTAAGTTTTTATGCACAGCGCACTGGAGCTCTTAGCCTAAGTCCTGTTGGGAAAGAAGCAATGAAGCAGTGCTGTGAAATTAGGAGTTATTTAGGAGTTGAGTAGAGCACTGTCAGTACAGCCATGTAGCTTGGTGTGTTTTGACTCAGAAATACTGAAAACCTGAGGCAAGCGCTTTCTGAAGGCAAGCGATGTGCTATAAAGGCTACTGTCCATTTTTAGGTGGGATACCTTAAGTAGCAACGCTAATAGTAGATCAAAGCTAAGGTAGCTCGCTTGATGGTTTTAATCTTCAGGCACTGTCTGAAAGTGTCTCCACTGTGGCCTGTGCTATTGTATTTGCTTCAGTTTCTTTGGATGACTAGGTATAGCCTTATCTACTTGAATATGGTTGTATGACAATGAGTGCATTGAAACATAAACTGTATAAATGTATATATACATAAAACGTATAAAAGAGTGATTTTGCCAGGGTGTGGGGAAGAGAGAGGGTGAAGATTTGCTGCGGTATGGTTGCATAAAGGTGGATTTTAGTTACGGCTGGGTCCATGTTGATTGAGAACAGATTCCTGTCGGAAGGACTTAGTAGTGGGTAAAGGCAGGAAGGACAAAACTGACTTGCAAAAGTATATTTGGAGCCAGTTCGCTGTATTTTAGTGGTCAGAGGGCGAGGCAGAGGAACCTTTCCTGCCCTTTTGTCTCAATGAGTAGGAATCATTAACAGGAGATCTGGGATGAAGAGAGCTCAGAAGGAACTGGGCAACAGCAGCACAAAAACAGAATGAACGCTGAACTGCTCAACTTGGTTCTGATGCTTTGTCATTGAGAAATGAACTTCATGTTTTAGACATAGCACTTTGTTTCCACAGACACCCTGACTGTACGCAATGGAAAACCAAAACACTACATGAAAGGAATGCTAAAGGCCTGACTCAGACCAACTGGAGCAAGGAGATTTGTCTGTCTTGCTGTAGCTGTGCTGGTGTCTCTTTTTCTGCATACGTCTATTTGCTGGAATGTAATTTGGTTCCTCGAGGCTCTCATGCTATCAGTTGTAGCTGAGGTGTTTCTCCGGGGAGCCACATGATTCCATTCGGCGGCTGGATTTCAGAATTAGATGTCGTTTTCTTCATCAGTTTCTAATGTGCTGAATCAATGAGGTTTCCAGATACTTAAATGAACTAATTCTACCAGGTAGAGTTAGTTATAATGAGATAACATAGAAAGAAAATACATAATGGTGGGCAACATCAAACTGTCTTTACCTATCTTTATTTAAGCTTGCAACAAGATTTCTCTCTTGCAGATTTGCAGCACCATTACAAAGCAAGCTATTTATTTAGTGTCCTTTGCTCCCTAATGATCTATTCTAAACCACTGCATTAAGTAGCTTTTATAAAATTTAGTTTAGCTACTCCTGGCTAAAACGGTGGGGGTGAAGGTGCCTGGGGAATGCAAAGGAGCAGGATGGGATATCTGCCTGTGTTATCCCATTCCCAGGAAGCAAGACAGAGCTGATGCAAACTCAGACAAATCACAGGTGTTACATTTGTTTCTCCCTTCCCTTATCTGCTTTTATCTTCGTCTTTTTTGATACTTCATTAGTCTAAAGGTTTGTGTTATCCAGCGTGCCCTAAAGAGAGGGTGCTGTATGCCAGAACGACAACATGCTTTTGCCTCTTTTGTAAGTTTTGTGTTTGCTGGGGTTCTAGTTGTGGAGTTACAGGCCTCCATACTAATACAGATTTCCTGGCTTAAAACAAGAGTTGGATGCAGTTAGTGTTTATTCATATACAATGAAAATCAGTGCCTGAAATCCCTCTTAAAAATGTAGGTGGATTCTGAGCCCCAGTACATAGGTGTCAGTGGCCACTCTGGAGCTCCTGTGAGCCATTGTCCACATCACAAAAAGCAGTGAAGAGAGGGGTGGAGGTACCTGCTGAAAAGGCAGGGATGTGGGAACGGCTGCCTGGAGTAAAATCTGAGAAACCTGAGAAGCCAGCCTCCTTTGGGGAAATACTAAAAGGTGTAGAGCAACTTGCTGAGAGGTGGACTCGCTAAGAGATAGATTCAGCTGAACAGTCAGCCATGCTATTTGAGATATATATGAGAAATTGCAGGGTTTGAGCAAGGAATTTGATTTGGAAAATGGGGAAAACAGGTATAAGAAATGATTGAGAAGACTCACAGATAATAAGAAATAGGGAACCTTAAAAATGTATACAACTTGGCTCAGCAAGAGATGTACTGGATTCTGTTGGTTTTGGACACTGAACTAATAGTAATTAGTCTACCTTTCTTCACTCTTCTAGAGGAGATGTCAGCAAGGACAGTATTGTGTGCTGAGCATCAAAATTAGAGATATGAACTGGCAAAAATTAAAGCATTCCAGTTATATTTTGAGATTTTTTTAAAATGTTTTGATTATATGCTTAATTAGAGAGAAAAATAAACCTGTTCTAAATTAAAACATTCCTTTGAACTGTTTTCTGTAAATGAAGCTTCATCACATCAAAGCTTCTGTGTGCTTCAGAATGTAGAAATCGGTTAGTAACGGAACTGGGAAAAGTTGAGTTTGGGGTCTCTGCCCCTTGCTGTAAATGTTTTCTATACTCATAAAAATCACAGGCTCACTTTCCAGCAGTTAACTGGCATTGCACCACTGGAGTTACTTGCTTTTTGCTAGCTTACTGTTTTCTAAGGGACTGAAACTGATGTATTTTGGTTTTTAATGAACGCATGTTTCTTGTAAGCTAGAAAATGCAGGAATGTGGTGATTGTAATTCTTTTAAAATATCATGCAGAGATAATTCTAGTAAGGATGCTAAATTTGCTTAGCTCCAGCACCAGGCATATGTGTGGTGACTCCCTGTGTTGAGCATTTATGCATATATATGTAGCACCTCTTACAATATTTACATTTAAGACAACTTAAAGTTTTAGCCTAATATACCTATTTTAGAGCAGTTGTGCATTCAAAGTGATCCACTTCAAGGTCTCCATTTTCATTGCGAAACAGAATCTTTTTGCTTTGGATGTAGATTCACTTTAATAAGTATGACAATAGAAGTAAGCCTGACTTCGTAATTATTTGATATAATTTAGATGCAAATGAGGACTTCACATTCTGGCAGTCACGCCTTTGTTCTCATTCTCAGTTCATTGGATTTCATTAACATACAGTGTAGTCCTTTTCAAGGTTATTTTGGGAGGGGAGGATTGAGTTCCATTATCCAGCCCGTTTTTACTATAGATGTGCAGGGCCAAAGCAATTCTTTCTGGGAAAGGTTGTTGTCAGTGGAAGTTGCAAGTATTCTTTCCCCTCCTTCTGCCAGCAGTGAATTTAGTTCTTTGAGTTTTATTAAATGCCGCATGCTAATGTCTTAATTGCAGAAGTAGTTGAAGGCACTGGTAATGAGGCATGGAATCTCTAACATGCAGGTTGTCAGCTAAATCCATTCCATGATGAGAGTAATTTAAAGACACTTCAGTTGGCTTCCAGTGTGCAATGATGGGGATTTGTTTCCTTCCAAGTAAACAGGAGTTTCCTTTTTTTATTCATAAATAACACTATTCACTCAGTGCTTCAGTAAACGCGGAGACGAGGCCAAGGAATAAATAGGAAGAAAGCGATGCTAAGATTGATCTTTTCAGGTCTGTTTAGAGCTAATTGGCAGGACAATATGTACATACTCATAGTACTGTTTTTGTGGAAGATTATCTTGGGTTGTCAGGTTGGCATTTTCACAACTGTTTCATTTACTTTGGACCAAAAGTCAGGGACCTGAGTAGAAAGCAGCTCACCTGGAAGCTTTCAGGACATATGAATGGAACAGAATCCTGGTTTTCTTCAAAACTGTGATGGTAGACTGAACGGTAAGATGATTTGAACCAATAAAATGAAAAGTTATGATGGAAAATAAATGTATTTTCATTAATCACTGCAAAAGAGATTTTTAATTTTAGCAGTACTGTTGTCTCTGCTGGGTTGATTAACCAGAACAAGTTGTTTGCTATTCTTGCATCAAGGATGGTTTAGGATTCTTTCTGTATCAAATGCAATAAACACTGTCAGCAGTAATTATTTAGGATTCTGAATCTGTTCTCTGCTATCTACTTGTTGCTGATCACTGAAAACAAAAATAAATTTAATATTCTCATGCAAGCTGAATTTGATACATGACTTCGTAGCACGGCTTTGGTTTAAGTATTCAGTGTGCGTGGCAGTCATGAAAATGAGGGTGGTGCATGCCTTGTTCTATTTGTTCTTTCAGAAGGGTCTTGATCAGTTTGGATTTATTGGTTTTTATGCAAGCACATAAGAAACCCTCTTCTAGATGCTTTTTCTTACCATCTTTGACCTGGACACTGGGCAAGGTTCAAAGGGGAAAAAAAGAAACCTTTTATGAGGTGTCCTGAAATGGTTTCTAGGGGTCACTTCATTTAGACTGTGCAGAACTTTGGAAAATTATGTTGTGCTTAAATTTTTGTGGATTGTGATACTGAGGGTGAAGAGGGCTGTACCTGAGCACTTCCTTACTTATACTGAAATGATGAAACCTGGGTGATTAGTGAAGCTGCGCGACATACGTCAGTGATGCCACCAAAGTCACCAGACTGTCGTTTACGCTTGTAGATTCAGCTTTTGTGAGTTCAGTGTTTGGCTGCTTCAAATGTTGTCAGGTTACAAATGGCAATGGAAAGGAAAGGGAGAAACTGAGGTTAGGTCACTTCTCATTTTGCTGGTTTCAAGATACTTTTAAGAGCCAGTTTTGAGGAAAAGTTAGGCTGAAACCTGTTCTGTCTTAAGCTGGTTCAAAATCAGGGTGCTATAATGAGCTGTCTAATATCCAGTCTGCCATCTTTGTTTTAAGTAGGCATCAGGTTTTTTTTCTTTTTGTCTGTATGTGGGAACCATATATTCCTCTTACTTAAGGCTATTTTCTCATACTCGCTCTCATTTTTATTTTAAACTAAAATATATTAGCTCAGTAGGAGACTGTGATGACTCGATTACTGTAAGCATCAAGTGAAAATCATTTTCCAGTCTTGTAATTATCCTCTTATGAAAAGCTTAACGAAACACTTTCTGTTACAGGTTGGCTGTGATCGCAGCAAAAACCTGGTGGATATTTGTGGAGAAAAAAATTTCCAGGCTTTTGTCTGTGATGCCCTGTCGGTGCCAATCCGCAGTGGTTCTTGTGATGCCTGCATCTCTATTGCTGTAATCCACCATTTCTCAACAGCGGTAAGTCACCCCTCTCTGTGCTCCCCTGTACTGCTGTATTGCTGTGCAGAGCTACTAATATTACAAAAAACTGCTAGTTGGGGCTCATGGAAGCAAAAGGGAAGAACGAAATGGGGGGAAATCGAAGGTTTGCACTTGGTGTAAGCAGTTGTCAGAGCAGAGTTAAGCTGTTGTCCTGCTGCTGCTTCTTAAACTTTCTCTCCATGTTCTCCCTCTGCTTGTCAGATGCCCTTGCTCCTCCTGGCACTTTGATCTAAGTGTTTGTGTTTGATTTTCGTCTGCGTACAATTAATGACACTGGAGAAGGGGGCTGTGCTTTGGGAGTCAAGAGATGTGTTACTTCCTGGCTCAGATCTTGAGCAGATCTCATGGTTTTTTTCTCTGTGCCTTCATTGTCCATCTGCAAACAACAACAGGGACACTACTCGCTCGTCTGCCATGTCTCTGGGCTGTGTAAGCTTCTCCTGGCAGGAACTGTGCGATTGTAACAAGCTTCTAGACCATGGAGCCTTAATCTGAGGTGGGGCCTAAGGGAATGTTTCCAAATGCAATATAAAAAGTAGGAAGAAGTCTGTTTTGGAGAAGGCTGACATATCTGCTCGGGTGGTCAGAGGACCTGTGTTTAAGCCATAAATCTGACTACTTCAGCTGCAAACTTAGGGTGTGTATCATCAGGTATGGTAGATCCGAATCTGGGATTTTAGATATTGAACAGCCTTCTTGAAGAGGCCTGTGTCATTTCCAGCTGGGCTGATATGTCCAAGAAATCCTGCTTAGCACAGCACTGTTTTCAAGTGGAAAGAGAATTGTGTTCAGGAAAATGTCTTGGCTTGCGCATAGTGATGGGCTATATTATGAATGAAAATGAATAGTGGAAAAAATTCCTCTGATTTTTATTGTATCCTGGGGGGGGGACAGTAAGGAGGAACTGCTGCCATTCCATTCTCCTGTCTTTCTGTTTATATACTAGCTTCATACTTTTGTTTTTCCTTTATAGGAGAGGAGACTGGCTACTATCCGTGAACTAGCTCGGCTTCTAAGGCCTGGTGGAATGGCACTCATTTATGTTTGGGCGATGGAACAAGAATACAAAAACCAGAAGTCTAAATACCTTAAGGAAAAGAATGGTAGTAAGGACAAGGAGGAGGAAATCAATACTGGCATGGCCCAGAGACCCAGGCTTAGTGATCAAATGCCTCATAGCAGCAGCCAAGACTCAGCATATTCTGACCGACTCTTTAACGACTCGAAGGACGAAGGCAGTGATGCAAAGCCAGTCGCAGACTCTAGACTGCCCGTTCACACTAACCGAACCTCCTTTCACTCTCAAGATTTGCTGGTTCCCTGGCACCTGAAAGGTGGCACTAAAAAGAAAGGGGAAAGTGTTGATACAGTGTCATTTCCAGCTGGCTCTAAGGAATCGCAAGAACTCAGCCCTGTTTTCCACCGTTATTACCATGTGTTCTCTGAAGGGGAACTGGAAGCAGCATGCAGATCCCTGGATTGTGTGAGGGTTCAAAACAGTTACTATGATCAGGGAAACTGGTGTGTGGTTCTAGAAAAGTTGTAGCCTGTGGTGTTTCCTCCGCTACCTGTGGTGTTTTGTTTGTTTTTTACAGTGTGAAAGGTATTTTTAATGCAGGTTGCAGCTATTACCTCTTTTAAAATGGCAGAATAAAGATTGTTTATTGAGTTAATAACAGTAACTAGCACTGTGTGCGTACATTAACAAAATAATGGCCAAACTCAGATACTACCTCGGCAGAGTGTTTATTTTACTTTTGTGAATTACAGTGAAGAGGATTAAGTGGGGAAAATACTGGCCATGGAAATCAGTAAGGCCATTGTTGAGCTTTTCAAGACAAAGGGCCTGGTTCTCCCTTCTCTTACACCAGTTTATGCTGGTGTAGCTGTAGTGGCCTCCCTACAGCCCACAGCTAATTGGAATGGAGCTCTGGGCAGCAAAGGTAAAGCTGTTTGCTGTTGTCGTGGTTTAACCTCAGCCGGCAACTAAGCACCACGCAGCCGCTTGCTCACTCCCCCCCGGTGGGATGGGGGAGAGAATCGGAAGGGTAAAAGTGAGGAAACTCATGGGTTGAGATAAAGGCAGTTTAATAGGTAAAGCAAAAGCCACACACGCAAGCAAAGCAAAACAAGGAATTCATTCACTACTTCCCATGGGCAGGCAGGTGTTCAGCCATCTCCAGGAAAGCAGGGCTCCATCACGCGTAACGGTTACTTGGGAAGACAAACACCATCACTCCAAACGTCCCCCCCTTCCTTCTTCTTCCCCCAGCTTTATAT